CGTTTAATTACTGTTAAATTCCCAGTGTTCTTTGGATGCCCGAGTGAAAACTTTGCAAATCTGATTGTTTACATCTGCATTTTGTGACATCAATTCTGTGCAAATGGCTTTTTACTGATCAATGACCATACTAGCTACTGCAGCTAGTCTCTTAAATCAACAATTATACTCATCCATGGTCTTGTGCTTTAGTAAGTGACACCCGGAAATGAAGCAGATTATCTCATGAACTGCAACAAGCAATAAAAAGTAACACCTGTATTCAGTAGGGCTTCCTCAGCAAGCAAGGTTTTTCAGTGCACGACAACATGAATACTGCCTCAATAACCTGTGTCTCGATGCGTCAGGCCTTTGAAAGTGCTCTGATTTTTATGAGGGCTCTTTTAAATGACACATGAAAGAGACCTGGTGTGACACAGAGGCTCTCTTGTCAAATTTATCTCCAGGGCTCTGAGAAAGCTTTGTCTGAGGAAACCTGAGCTCTGGTGCTGCAGGCTGATTTAGTGGCTGGACAGCACTGCTTAATTCACAGTGACCATAAAGTCCTCACCTGTCGTGCAGCCTGACAGCTGAACTAATCAGCCATACAGAAGGAGAGACGCACAGCAGACTCAACCTGTCCTGTTCCATAAACACAGACTCATTCACAATCCCATTCTCTCTCTTTCTCTCTCTCTCTCTCTCTCTCTCGCCCCTTCACTGACACAGGACGACTCATAGTGGAGTCTGCAAGTCTTCTGCCTTCAGTTTTATCCACTACCACACAGGAACAGCTAGATATTCTCACTTAGATGTGGGATCAACACGAAGGTTAATACAGGTACTGAAAAAGGAAAGGAGGTACGTTTTTTGTGAACTTTCAAAGGCCACTAAACCCATTCGACCAATCAGTATAGGACTGGTTGAGTGGGGATAGGGCGTGCACAACATAGCTAGCCAATGTTATTCTCCAATGTCATTTAAAAGAGCCCTCATAATAATCAGAGCACTTTCAAAGGCCTGACGCATTGAGACACAGGTTTTTGAGGCAGTATTCATGCTATCTTGGACTGAAAAACCTTCCTTGCTGAGGACATCCTACTGAATACAGGTGTTTGTTTTTCCTTTTAACTACTGTTTGTTGCAGTCAGTGAGATAATCTGCTTCCTTTCCAATAAATGGGAAAATGTAATGATAATTATTGATCCAATAGGGGAATCATAGTTGTAGTATCTACAACTACGTATATAGTATCAACACGTTTTACTCGTCTTGCAGTGATACACATGTAACTAGTAATAAGCTTATCTGTATGGCCCCTTTCATACATATAATGCAGCTCAAAGTGCTTCACAGAGGGTTACAAGACAAAAAAATAAAATCATACAAGAACATAAAAGCAGCAAGAATGCAGTAAATTAATGTAAAAATAATCAACAATTAATGGTAAAAAAGCAACTGAAATAATAATTAAAGTCAGCAACAACAATAATAGTAATAGAAATAGTAAAAGAAAAAACAAGAAAAAGTTTGTAAAAATATTTCTTTAGCTGCATCTTAAAATTCTTTACTGATGTTGCCTGACTTTGTTGTTTTGAGGTCCATAAAAACAAAAAGCTGCTTTAATACATCCTTTTTTGTTAATTTTTGGTACAATAAGCTGGCCTGCAGTGTGGGATCTTGGAGAACAACTCAGGGTAGGCTGAGATAATCCATCATGTATGATGGTGCTAATCAATATAATGCTTTAAACACCAATATTAGTACTTTAAAATCTATCAAAAAAAGACACTGGAAGCGGGTATAATGACGGCAGTATATATTTCAAACGTTGTCTTGTTACATACCACAGAGGCCGAAAAAATTCTGTAAGTGAACTGAATTAAATGAATGCACTATTGATGAAGGACATTCAATTTAAACTTTATCTCGCACCTAGAAATAATATGAAGAGGCTAATTTAATAACAAAATAATTGCCAGTACAAGGTCAAAAGCTTGTAGGCTAATTTTCCCTCAATTTTTCCCCAGGAAATGTGAATGTGTGTCAGGCCTGTGACTCCCATTAAAATTTTTCAGTATGGCCCACCATGTGAACGAGCTTGACACCACTAGTATAATGGCAAGAGCCAAGCGTCCTGTGTAGCAAGGAAAGGTGTTGCCATGGCAACAGGCTTTATTTGCGGCAGGATGTCTGGCTGGACAATAGCCCAGCCCCGATTTTCCCACCGATTTGCCATCGTCACTCCATTTTGCTCGGACCATCAGTACAACAAAGGAGCATATTACCAATTCAGCTTACCACGTTTGCAAATCAGCTCCCCAGAACGCATTTCTGCAATCTGTTGGTGAAACACTGGCTGGCAAAAGTAAGAAATAAACATAGAGTGCAAATAATACAAAGTTTAGGCCTGATCTTGTTGTGGGTGCAGAATATAGATGCAATCCTACTTGGAGCTCACAGTGGACTGTAGCTCAAAGCAAAAAACACTGCTGTACCACAGTAGAGGCTTACGTCATCAACTGCTCTTATGTAGAAATCATTAAAGATTCAAAACCAGAAACAACGGACTGGTTCGCTGCATTTGCATGTTGAGCAGACAGCTATGACTCTAGCATGCAACAATCCTGCTTGAGTATGGCTGCATCAAACATTTTCATTTCTGAATACTGAATTATCTTGAATATTTGAATATTCTACAAAAATAGTAAAAAGGCTCAAGATGTGTGTTACTAGAAAAATATTACCAATAAACAATTATTCCCATATAAACTGAGCAAGAAGGCAATATTTAATCATAATCTTTACAACTGTGTTTATGTGACAAGTTTGTTACATGATAATATGCTGTTCTGGGCATTTCGTGGATAACATCTGTACTTAAGGAACGCTGACCGACTGCGTGATTTATTACAAAAAAGACCACAGAATGAGAAAAGTTGTACCTAGACAACTACCCAGATTTTTTGGTCACAGTTTATTTGACACTACTAGTACATTGTGTCTCTGTCAAAATATTGTGATAGGTATCTTTAACCACCGTGACAATATTTTTGCCATGCCGTCCACGCCCAGCAACATGCATAAAATGCAATGCTGAGTGATCCCACCTAATCTGGCAACCCTGTTCTGAATGCTATGACGGCTGTAACGTCACGAGTAGTGCAGGAGAGCAGTGGAAAGAGCGACTTTTAACCTACGCTGTTTTAAAAACTGAAGAAAAAAAAACTTTTTTGGTCAAGTCAGTGAGCTAGGGCTTCACCATGTGTTACATCCTAGATCCTTTTAGAAGATCCTTAAAAAACGCTTTATATGTGCTAAACTCAGCTGTGTGGTTCCCATCACCCTGTGCAGTTTTAGGAAGTTACTTTCTACTCTAGAGGGGCAGCTCACTAACCAGCATGCTGCTGTTAATTTTTTTAAATAAATGCAGTTGAGAGTATGCAAACTAGCAATCAGGAGCAGTAGGAAATGCATCTTGACAGTACAGAGTGATTAAAATTGATATCACCTAAAATTAAAGATCTCTGATTAAGACAGAGAGTCTTGACAGCCCGACTTCTGACTATAGCCGATGTATCACTGTGGCTTTGACACTTCTACTGTGTGCTACTGGTGACTCACAGTGTTTAGCTCCATAAACAAACCTTTCCTGTCAGACTGATAAAACCATGCACGGAAGAATGTGGTTTCATAAAAATGGGTATCAGTCATTTGCACGATTTTTCAAATATTCAGTAGCATCAAATCTATCGAATTTTAATGAATATTCTCTGCAGCCAAATTTGAGACATTTTAGCCCATGGAAGTATCTGAGAACATATTCATCTCAACACACATAATGCAATCAATAGCAGCCTAATATTAATAATCATCAAAATCTAAATGAAAACTATACTGCTCAAATATGATCAAGATCTGCAGTGGTATGTACATAAGAACATAATGTGATTCACTAGTTGAAGCAGCTTCATACAGGCTTCCAGCCACTCGTTCTCAGCAGTCAAGAGTAGTAGGAGTTAACCTGATGCACTGATGGCCAGCACCGCCCAATTGCTTGCTCCAAATGCACTACGCAGGGATTAGCACTAAAAATACTTCCCAATTTCCATGCCATCGTAGAGCTGAGACGGCTGCTAGCGCCTGATGCAACACATTACCATCCAGAAATTAAACGCTGCAGTCCTTCCCACAATGCACCACGACTTCCTTTTATGCCCCAATAGGCTGAATAGCCTTTGTCATTTGGAGAAAAAGAAGAGTGAATAAGAGGGTCCAAATGGGGAAACGAGCGAGCAGTGAGAGAAAAAAGATGTGCTTTACTTCAAGCCGAGGCAATAAATAGACATCAATACAAAGAGTGGCCGGACAGGAAATGGACTTTTGTTGAGGTTTAAAAAAAAACAAAATTAGTAACAACAATTCTCTCAGTATATACAGATGTCTGTTATAGTTAAGGTGCCAGAATACATGAATTCAGTATGTGAGGTGAAAAAATAACCGAAGGATTTAGACAAATATTTCATTATTACCACGTATGTCATACACACAATAACATAGACATCAATAGTAATCCATTAACTCCACATCAGCTACATATAAAAGTTGACAAACCATCAAAGATAGCTTCTGCCACACTGCTCTCTCTCTGCTTGGCTGTTATGGGAAGGGCCACATTTCAAAGGCCAGCAGTGCAAATACTAAAACACTAAAACGAAAATTATTGCAGTTTTAAACATAATAAAAAGCTCTGATGCACTGTGGATACAGTCCATTAATCTACGACTGTTATTCTGCTAGGATGTCCACAGGCTTTTGGAGAGAGTGGCAACTATGATAGATAGTGTGTGTGTAAAATACAATTGTAATGGACACTCAGGGAATATAGCTACTTCCAATAACGCTTAGTTACACTTGTACCCAGTGAGAAAATCCAGAATTGGTCCCTCATAAACTTGAGGATGTGAAAGATAAACATAGTTACTTTATTCTGCAAAGTTGAAACCAAAGAGTGGACTCACCTGCACACGAGGGTGGCAATGATGACGCACCAGGCGGTGCAGCAGCAGTCTGCGTTGGGCTGCTCATCACTCTTTTTGCGACAGCAGCAGAGCCAAAAAGAGTAGAAGAGGAGGAAGAGTAGGTCCAGAGCCAGACAGGCCAAAGCCACCCCACCCAGCAGCAGAATGGACTGTAGGACAACAAGCAAGCAAAGAGAAAAGGTCAACATGGTATTGTTTGAAATGTTACCTTATCTGACCTAAGGGCTTTTCACACCTGAAAGTCCAGACCAAGGTCTAAGGCAAGGTTCATGTTTTTGTTACATTGCATACACTTTATCATGTTAGTTTTGGTTTCACATTGCAATTTAGAAGTGCACTAAAGAACTTTGCACGACACACCTACGTCCTGTTGTCATCATCTACGTGGGCTGTGTATCCCTATACTTGACACTGACTGGTTTGTAGAGGAGCGTGCGTCCGATGTTTGTGTGTTGTCAGTTTGGAGGGTAGCCTTTTCTGTTTGAATTGAGAAAAATGAATGTCCGTTCTCTCTCATCCTTTCCGAAAGTGAAGTGTAAGTTTCAGGATTTTTATGCATTTCTACAAGTTGACTCTTCACTTTTTCTTTGGACCAAATTATCCTCCTCTCCCCATGTGCTAGTGACTCATTTTTACTTTTCTTACAGTTCTTTTGCCTCTTCTATTGCTTACTAGCTGATGCTAGCCTTCTTGTAATTGGTCCGAAAGTCCGAACCATTCAAAAAAAGTGATTTTACAAGAATCATGGTTCAGTTTGATCCGGACGAAGACCACCTCTTCTGGTCTGAGGCACCTCTCACACCTGCTATTTAGGTCCGGACAAAACTGAAAAGTCTGAAGGACTATAGAGGATCAATAGAAGGATCAAGAAAGCCCCAAATAAGGACTGGATATTATCAATATATTATTTTTTGGCTGAATGAGCAGCATTACACATGCTGTTACACTTTCATAGTCAATATAATACTCACTTTTCACCCCTAGGCAGCCTTTCATTCACTCTGTGTAACACTGGCGGCACTCATCACTAGGGCAACATCTAAATAGACGAAGTGAGGCCTATACATAACTAATGATCATCTGATGTATAAGTCCCTGGCCTAATTTCACAACACTACTCAATTGCTTTCCATTTGTCGACTGCAAATTTTTATTTTATGACCCATCTGAAAACCAAGAAAGACAAAACACACAGCACTGATATCACCTGCATGTTCTTTTGAAGAACATGGTGACACAATGGTCCAGGTGATGCTTTCCTGACATGTACAGGTCTTATCAGGTGGGGTGATTCTGTTCGCAATGAGGTCAAGTCTATATCAATAAGTACAGTCTCACAAGCCAGAGAGTCTTGTAGGTTTTGTCCCTGAACATGGCCAAGAGCCACTGACTTTGACAGGAAGGGACAATGTGACTGACATGTAAACCAACTAATCACAGGTGATTTTCAAAATGACCCTAGAACAAATGTGAAACAAAGCATGTGTTGAAAACAAGGGACGCATAACATCAGCATCAGCAGATATTTGCTTAAAATAAAAATCAGTTTAGATTTGACCTGTATTTTCGACCGATGTTTGATCATGTATTTGTTGTACTCTGGATATCAGTATTCTCCCATATTGGTGCATGCCTTGTAAAAATGTGTAAATATCTCATTTACTAGTTACCAAGTGTTTTGAAGTTATTCAAAGTACTTGAATAACTTTTAGACATAATGCCACAAACTTTTTTTTTTTTCAATTTGGGGTCTGTGTCTTGCTCCAAAAGGCTCATTGTTAAGCAGGCCATTGTTAGAAAAAGTTTATTTGGCGTCAGATTGATAATAACTGGTGGTAGGAAGTGAGCACTAGCCTACTGTTTTAGAATAAAAACTGTCAGTCCAAATGAGTCGCTGTAAAATCTGTGGTTGGAGAACATTCTGGAGATTCCCAACAGTCGCACAGGTATGGAATACCAGTTTGACATTTTTGTTGGTGTTTGTTGCAGAACACGGAGTAAGAAGGCTCTGGGCTAACCCTAGTTAAGAGGAGGCAGATTACATTCTGTCACTCTTGTTGTGATTACTTTAAGACTAAGCACTTTAAGACCACCTAACCACAAATTCCTCTGGGACTGTCATCACTTGCAATGAAGCCCACCATCACTGCAAGAGGGTTCAGCAATGGATGGACTTGGCTCGATGTCAGATCATCTAATCTCAATGTACCCAGTGAACTTCTGTCTCCATGTGAGCATTTTCAGTCTCTCGAAATCATAGTGTCCTTATCCCTTTCAACCTGTGCCAAGCCATCCATCAAGCATCAAGCTCACTGTGTGGGATCGCAGACGGCTGGGGAGGCCATTGTGTCCGCTCAGGAAAGCCGCAATGGAGAGCTTTGTGACTGTGCATGGGGAGGAAGGCTGGGAGAACAGGTTCAGCTCACTCCAGCTGAGAGCAAAATGAAGCTCTGTTGTCCCCCCCTCAGCTGCACTCCAAATTGTTTTGAAAGAATGAAATCAAGATGATTAAGCAGAGATAAAGTATGCTACTGAGAAGTTAATAACAATGCCATCCCATACTAGGCTATAAATCACCAATAAGCTCAATCACATCAACAAAGCTAACAATAAAAACAACCCCCTTCCTTGCTAAAGTTTGGAGCAATCTTTCACACAGGTATTCATCACAAAGACTGCTCTCTGTTATGGCAAATGCTTGGGAAAAAATTAAACTATCTCAAGGTCTAAATCCACTCCAATCATCAGAATGGTCAATGGACCGTGGATACTGGCTTGTGGTGAAACGGAATGTTTCATTTGTGTTCTCCACCTCTTCCTGTTGTAGGAAAGGCTTTAGAGAGAAAGCGTCCATTATCTGATTTCTGCTCAAAAGCAGCTGCTTTACATTTCTACACCATATAAGGCATGGAAACAATTTCCAAAAAGGAATACAATCCAGTTCCCGGAGGAGGATGCTAAATATGGCTCTAAATTTGGGCTTTGGCTGTCCACTGCACCGGATAGTTAGAAATGAACAAAGTACACTATTCAGACAGATAAAGAAAAAGAATCTTTTATAACATCCTGATTCGATCTTGTCAATCTCTGTCGCAATCAGCTTTTTTTGTGGAAAATACATCACTTAAAAAGCAGATAAGACCAAGATTTCGCCTGTTTTATTTTAATTATAAAAACACAGAAAAGATAAAATAGACAATCTGATGGATAAATTCTATGTCCATACAAAACCATCCATTTTATTGAGCAATAGTTCCAGTTTTGCACACAATCCACCATGAACACCTTTGAAAAATCTCTATCTCTGGCAAAACCTCTTGTCTTTTTCTTCCTCTCTGCACCATAGGACATCATCCTGAGGTTCAGGTTCCTGCTGTGGCAGTGCCTGATCACGCTCGGGTACCTGCTGCTTCACTGTCTTTAGTCTGCCTGATGCCCACCGGCTCTCCTGCAAGTACTTGATTCCCCAGAATCCTTTCTACCTTTCGAAGACGTTTCTGCTACTGTAGACTTGTGACTCTTCCCTCGGACCTGCATGTAGTTGCTCAGATCTGTTATTGATGACTCATAACCTTATTTAGCTAAACTGCTCTACCTGTGAAATCTACTGTTATTGTAACTTAACCTCTTGAACTCTTTATTTACTGTCTATTTGCAAATAATATGCCTAGCGGTAAGAAAGGTGAATCAGCGACCGGAAGGCCGTGAGTTCAAATCCCATGATCGGCTGAGTATACCTAGTTTTGTCCTTGGATAAGGCACTTAACCCCCCAGACGGCACTGCTCTAGTGTGCTGCTCCCAGACTGGACACAGTTAGGCAGAAAAATGACTAACTTTCCTTGTAGGATCAATAAAGTACATAACATGACTGCACAATAAGGCTGGCTTTACATGTCAGATACTTAATAAAACTAAATTTTAATGGAGATGCACAATGTAAACCCTCTTTACACTCATCTGCAATTTGCCTGAAATTCAGACACAACAGAGAACCATCTTGATTTCACAAAACAAGTGATCACGCACCACAAGATCACATCAAACAATATTATTGCAAACAAATCATACCAATAGAAAAATGAACAAGAAAAAAAAAAACAGATGATTGTTTATTGGAAATATGAAATGGAAATTCCCCTGACATTTTGCAAGGTTGGTAGTCTTTCTTTTTGACAGCTACTTTGGCCATGACAGCAAGTTTCTATAATCAGCTGGCTAACAGCAATCGCTGTTCAAACAGCTGCTTGTGCCACCATTTGTTCTTCTTTGTTTGATCTACATAGCTAGATTATTCATTTTCTCACTTGATGCTGCTTAATTTCACATAGTATTGAGATTCCTTTGAGAGCCAAGGAATGAAAATTATTACAGTGGGGACCAAGACTAACATGCAGTGCTTCCAAGCCATGATGAAAGAGATATCAAGCACAACTATCAATGCTACTGAAACATACATTTTCAAAGACTTAACATACACAGAACAGATAACAATTCTAACTCCAAAAGACTGAACTTGACTTTATATCGCAAAAACGGATGACTTTTTAACCCAAAAGTACAAGCTGTTAATTTGACTATTTGGTGGAGTAATCAAATGTGCTGCCTGCCACTTAGTTTTTGATTTGCTTTGTGTAACAGGCAAGTTGCAAAAAAAATATGTTGCATGCAACTCACAACATGCAAACAGTCACATGAAAGTTTCACAATGTAAAGCCAGCCTGGTTCCAGGTAGACGAGGACAGGATCCTCTTTTGGATGTTCTCTGTTCCTCTCAAGGCGACTTCCTTATCGAATTTCAGGGAAATTTTGGTGTTGACTCAAGAAGGTCACAAGCCAAAGCTCTAATTTAACTTTGCGACAATATTTATTGTCAAGCTCTTTATACAAATAAATCCAGACTGAACACAGTCAAATTTTCAGACATCAAAAGGGAAGACTATGTGACTGAGGGGGAAGAAAGATTAGTGGTCTGTATAAGCTATCTAACCAAGACTTTAATTTTTACTAAGAGGTTTTACTAAACTCAACGTTTCCTGTGTATCCTGGTGAGGAAAGCAGTTAAAATAACTGCTAAATATAAGAACACCACCAAGGCTACATTTGACAGCATCTAGCCTGAGGCAAATGAGGACGGAGTTAGGATGAAGG